ACTTTATTTTAAGTAAAGAGTTCCGATCTAAGGAGTATCTATACTCTATAGACCGGAACTTTTCTCTAGCTAGTATAATTATAGACTATGAAGAATTTTATCTAAGTCTTCAAAGGTGACAATGCATCAGTAGCCTCCTTTGTTTAAAGTTGGATGTAGGTATACGCGGTAGAGCCATGCTGCAGCTATATAAGTAGTATAGTTGTAGCACGAATGGGTCGATTCGCCCGGGGAGGGACCACGCTCACACTGTGTTTCGTATGGTGAGTGTAGAGAACCGGAGACCCATTTTATTGGAAAAGAGGCGTTCCATCTTGGTCCTTACGGATGAGGACGCATCTGCATTTTGATTCTTTATTGAGGATAAATGTTGATGTCTATGGGTCACGGCTACCATTTACCATCAGGTGGACTGTGTGCTAGTTTGTCACTCTATCCTATAAAATAAGGTCTCTGTGGCTGCAGTAGTCACTTGTAGTCAGGTGAACTGTAAGTTAATGTCACTTCGGTTTTGTAACAAGTGGTAAAATTAAAAAAAAATGTACTACCAACTTCAATGTCAATTAAATGAGAACATCATCAATGTAGTCGACATCAATTAAATACGCATTATTAAGAATAACTCAAAAACTACTAGTCAGATCTCAATTTAATTTATACGGAAGCACATGAGAAGCACCAGCTTAAAAATAAAGAAAGAAACATCAAAATCGGTTCGCTTAGAAAAAAAGTTCTGAGGTAACAAACATTAAAAAAATACATTCAAATTGAGAATCCTTTTTTTGAAGTCGGTTGAAAAATAATATTCATTTCGCTGAGAAGGTGGACTGCTGAACACATAAAGAGATCTTCGCATAGTTTATCTAGCTTTCCATCACCAGCCGGTGGCATTTGTTTGTGTCATTTTCGCACGGATATTTCGTCATTTATCGTTTGCAAAAACCTCGTTTTCGTCTCGTCGGAATTTTGAAAAGTTGCTGAATGTAGATGTAACTCCTTAAATACTTCTTGCAATGATAATGAATTAAAAATGTCACCATAATAAAATATTATGTAACTATACGATATTTATTATATTAAAAAATATGAAGTATATAAATATTTTTGTAAATTTTCGTTCATCCTATGCCAAAAAATTGTAACCAGTATATCCATAATATTAATGTTTCCTTTATTACACAAAGACATCCGCTACTTTATTGTTTGTGACGTGAATGAAACTAATATAAATGTATGTCGTTGAATGTCATAAAAAAATCAGGAAATTGGTTAGCCTACATTTTTTCTGGATGCCGTCTGGCTTGACTAGTTAAGTCGTATTTAAGCCGTCGTTAATTATGAAAACAAAATGTAATAATGTAATGCCGTGTGATTTGCAGCGTTAGAGAATCCATCATTGCACTTCGTCCCGTGGGAGTTGGAAGATACTATGGGATTGTCAGAACGATATGATGGCTTCCGATAAATATTTGTGATATGACCATGTCGTATATAATAGATGAAAATACCCATACCAGCGACAGAAAGATGCGTCAATGTTAGTCAAAGCTTGACATTGTCACAATAGCGATTGCAAATTGCGTGTGATACTTTATAACTACGGCGAATATGACTATTAATTGGCTGATGAATAAGGTCATCATCATCATCTATCGACCTATGGCAAATTTGTTTGGGCTATGTCAATGCATGCCATGCATTATATGGACCTATGGCAAATTCGTTGGGCTATGTCAATTACTCTGGTTCTACTGCTGTTAATCTCATTATGAATCTTATCACGCAGAGAAACTCATAACTTGCTGAGTGACCTTCATACAGCCAGCAGGGAAGTACCATGTCTGAGATTTTCAAATACACTTAACTTTAGATGAAATATTTACTAATTTGTGTCACTAACTTGTTTTTTTTTAATATCTAATTTAAAAGTAATACTTAAGCTGAAATCTAATGATGTAGTTTGTGGTTGTAACTCCATCGTTCTGTTTAGTCCTAAAAAATACGGCTTCCGAGTTGAAATTGTGGACAAGTTTATTTGTTAAGATCTCTATAGATAATATATTGAAATCCTTTCAGCTGTCACTAACCGAGTGTCATTTAGCAATTAAATGACACCTAGACCTCATTTCGCAACTCAGCCAAGTGTGAATACGTCGATGAGACAATCGATTTCCGGTGTCGACACTGCACGCGAGTGCGAGAGGTCAGTAGTCTAGTGACAGGGTAAACAAGCCGCAAGCAGAAGTTACAATGTAAACGCGGCACACGAGGTGCTTCTTTGATCTCACCGATTAGAGGCGTAGGGATGTCAAATTGTTTTAAAATACAAAAACAAATATATACCTGTTCATGTCCTAATGCTGCAGATTAATATATAACAGTTACAACGTAACTTACAATGCATTTAGTTCCTAGTAGTGTTAATACAAATTTTGCATACAAATATTCAGGATAGTTTGTGATTTCTTTGTGAAAAATAAAGTGTTAAATGTTATAACTTTAGCTATTATCGTCACACAAACAATATTAGAAACCTGCTTTACAGGTATTATAAATTCTATAATATTTATTTTTCAATGGGGAAACTAACTAACTAATCAATCTATTAAATTAACTTAATACGTGAATGTACCTTTATTTAATGCATGGCAAAAGGATCAGCTTATAATAAAAAGATATTTGTAACTTACAATCGCTAAAAATTCCTAAGAAAACACAAATTACCCACAGCGGGAGGATATATAAAAATTTTATGTCATTTAATATAATTTGATTTTGATTTAATAAAAATATAAAATTAAAAGCTTCAATTGACAATAAGCAGTGATATCCTACACAGATATTAATGTTTAAAATCTGGTATTTGATCAACCCTTTACGTTACAGAGTAGCTCGTAGATCAGAGTTTACATAGCCATCATTCAAATGTATGAAGTCGCTATTTACGTTTGACCAGAGCACTCATTACGGATTGTTATTGGAATAATAAAGAGAGAGATACGTATCCGTCTAGATGTGAGATCGTAACGCGTTTCCGAGTATTTCCTTTTCAATTGCGAAACGCGATCGCTTTATTCTCCGCAACGATTCCGCGAACTGACACTTTTGTTGTTGTTTATTAGCCTATGTTTATCTGTACTAGTTTTGAGTGAAGTCAGATGATTTGATGGAATGTTTAAAATTTGAAAAGCGTTTTTCTTTAAATACACTTTATATTTTAATTTGTTTATAATTTTGGACAGATTATAAGCGCGTTGTTATTTTAAATACTTAAAAAACTAAACGTGGTTACTAACATTCGCGCTAAACAGATGTTTGTTATAGACGCTGATAGTTTTATAGTTTTTCTAAAATATACGTGATATATTGCGTATCTAATTTAAATGATAAACTAAAATAATACTGAATAATTTGTTTTCTCTCTTTTTTAGTATTTCATAAAAAGCTTAAAGTTATGAAGTGACAAAATATAGGTACTATAATTTAGACTTTGTTTACCCTAAACTATTTAGATCCAAAAAATCAGAAATTTTAACAAACTAGTTAAAATATTATCTACCTACTACCGATTTTTTCTCTTTTTTTTCCTCTTGCTTAAACAACGTTACGCTCACATTAGGATTTTCTCAAGTATCGTGGAGACAGTTTACAAACATAAATTTCACGAGGACAAACATTATATGGTCTTCCTTTATTGTTCGAACTTAGTGAAGATCTGAACTGAGCTGAAGTTAGGTCTCTACTGTAGGGGGAATTCCCGTTAATCGCTTGGCGGTCGGATTGGCAACAGAGTTCCAAACCCAAAGCTGATGCTTCCCTACACGGGTTTTTTAGGGTCGAGTTTTTAAATGTTTATATCATATGATGTTGTAATAAAAATACTTTTAGCAAATATAAGTTCAGAAGACAAGCGCTTAAATTAAAATTTTATAGTACTTACCTGAGTCAGCCGAGTCGATCCCTGCCGGCACCAATGAAATTGTCAAATGCAATTTTAAAATGCTTATTTACTACGTAAGCCTGCAAGTCTGAGAATTATTTTGGCACGTGCATTGGGGTAAAGAGGATTATCTTATGCTGGAACCCGAATTTAACCGACTAAAATTAATAGGTGCATATTACTTTATTTTAATTTCAATACTTTTACAGCCATGGAACAAATAAATTATAGTATATTTTATACGTAGTAGAGCCATGCTACAGCTATATATCTGGTATAGTTGTAGTACGAGTGGGTCGGCTCGACCGGGGAAGGACCACGATCTCACAGACTACCAGCTTAAAATAGCAGCTTAACGCTGCTGTGTTTCGCATGGTGAGTGAAGACAACTGGAAACCCTTTTTACTGGAAACGAGACATCCCATCTTAGTCCTTACGGGTGACAACGCATCTGCATTTTGATTCGTAAACGAGGATAGATGTAGATGTCTATGGGCAACAGCAACCACTTAGGGTAAGTCCGGGGGAGTTGGCCGTAAGGAAGAGATGGCCACTAAAAAAAAATCATAGTTACACTTACTAGATGGCACTACTTTCTCGTTAGTTCAATTTGTGCTGTGCGTGGGAGCGACATTTCGCTACATCTCCGGTGAAAAAAATCGAAAAAGTAAGTAAAATGTACCTACATTTATTTGTATATAGCCTAAAGTTTTCAAAGGGTTTACGTCATACAGTGTGGTGTAAAGACATCATAAAAAGTAAGTGCTTTTTTTAAGTTAAGTGCTCAGTTAATGAGCCACACTTTAACATAACCTCAAAATGGCGCGTGAGTTGTTTATATTTTTCTACAAATAATGTGTGGCCATCTATCCCGGCTGATTAGGAGAGATGGCCATACATAATCGGTATGAGATGACCATAAGGCCATCTCACACCTACCATATATGTAATGCGTAATGGTGAAAGTTATATTATTATAACTTGATATATTTTTCTTTATTTATGGTGCTATTATACTTATTTGGTTTTAGTATTTCATATCACAATATTTTATTTTTAGATGCCAAATAAATACCAAAGAAAAGCATGCAGCTCACGAGGGAACTGGAGTGAAGAGTCACTTAAGGCGGCCATGGATGCTGTTAAAAAAGGTGAAATGACTATCTACGCAGCTTCAATATCCTATCAAGTACCAAGGAAGACCCTCGAAAGGCGATACAAGAAAAATAATGACAAAAAAGGACCAATGGGACCATCCTCTATATTCGGCGAAAAAAATGAGAAGAAACTCGCTAACCATATTAAAACTATGCAAAAAAATGGTTTCCCATTGACTATTGATGACGTCAGAAAGATTGCGTACCAGTTCGCGGAGCAATTGAATTTGAATCACAGATTTAATAGAGAAACTGAGAAAGCAGGATATGACTGGTTGCAAGGTTTTTTACGAAGAAACCACGATATTACATTAAGAAAGTCAGAAGGAGTATCTTTAGCTAGATCAACTGCTATGAATAAACTGGAGGTTGACGCTTACTTTGAGCTTCTTGAAAGCATATTGACAGTAGACGATGGTGTGTTGAAACCGAGTTGTATCTTCAACATGGACGAGACTGGTCTTCAGCTTAATAATCGACCAGGGCATGTTCTAGCTGAAAAGGGTTCTAAGGCTGTATCTACAGTTACTTCGACTGAAAAGGGAGAAACGATTACAGTTATAGCCTGCTGCAATGCTGAAGGTACATTTTTACCACCTGCCTGTATCATGAAAGGCAAAAACAAAAAACCTGAGTTTGAGGATGGGATGCCACCGGGATCGAAACTTTTCATGTCCCCAAAATCAGCGTACATTACCTCAGATTTATTTATTGAATGGTTGAAAACACATTTTGTTCCGAGGAAACCAGCCGGAAGAGTACTTCTTTTACTAGATGGTCATTCAACTCACTGTAATTCTGTGGAAATGCTGGAATATGCAAATGACAATGACATCAACTTACTTTCAATGCCAAGCCACACGTCTCACTACCTCCAACCACTAGATCGTACGGTCTTTAAATCACTGAAGACTCATTTTTACGAGCAGTGTCGACTTTGGCTAAAACAAAATACTGGTCGTCGTATAACACGATTATCATTTGGAAGATTGCTTAATAAGGCGTGGGGAAAGGCAGCTTCTGCAGAGAATGCAATTGCGGGTTTTAAAGCTACAGGTGTCCACCCCTTCAATCCATCTGCAATTCCCGACTACGCGTTTACCCAAGAATTGACAAAGCAAATGTCTAAATCTCAAAATGAGTGTACAGCCACAGTTATCGTCGAGGAGCAAGAAGAAAATACTAGTAACATAGCTTCTGCTAATCTGGAACCAGTTCCAAATACTTTCGAAGTACGACAAGATATATCACCTGCAATCGCTGAGCCAAATAGCTCTGTTGAGCGAATAGTTTTAAAAAAAGTCCTGAGATGATTACAAGAAGGCCTAAAAAATTATTTGCTACTGCTTCAGCAGCAGTAATTAAAAAAATGTCAGAACAATTCCCTCTAAGAAGCGATTTGCCAGATCAGACTCCAACACGTATTTTAAAGCAAATATCGCCAGTTCCACAAAAAATTATTGAAGTACGCAAACGTGCTAAACAGGTAGGCATGCTTTTAACCTCAGAGAATCATATCAAAACAAGAAAATTTAAGGAAGCGCTTAAAAAAAATAGGGAACAAAAAAATTTCGAAAAAGACGTTAAAAAGGAAAGAAAAATTGAGATAAAACCAATAAAACGAGCACCAAGAAAGAGAAAATCATTAAGAAAGTTATCTGAAAGTAATGATGAGTATGAAGAACTAATATTATGTAATTCGTCTGATGAAGAAGATGGAAACAGAGAATTGGATAACTGTGTAGGTTGTGGAGAAAATTATTACGAAACGCAACTCATCGAAGATTGGATTCAATGCGTTATATGCCAACTGTGGGTACATGAAAATTGCACCGAATTCGATGATAAGTGTTCATCATGTGGACAGAAAAAGAAGAATGAGCTAAGGCTCAAAAACTTAAAGGGAAAAAGTGATTAAAATGTAGATTAATAAACTGGCCATCTCTCCCTTGCTTCTATGGCCATCTCTGCCGGGCACTACGGGAGAGATGGCCAATCGTGATTTGAAAAAAAAGTAAATTATGAGACTGATTATGTTAAAATGACAAAAAAATGTTGTGATTTTCTTAGAGTTTAATGTCGAAAGTTTAATAAAAAGTTGATTTTTGTTAATTAATCCTTGTAGTTTTTATTTTAGTGACTTCTTTAAAAACTATGGCCAACTCCCCCGGACTTACCCTACCTATAAAAAAAAAAACTAGGATTTGTTTCTTTTACATTGGCCTGGTAGGAAGAAGGTGTGTAAGTATACACAATATTTTTTAAATAAGTGTCGATATATCTAGCCATCAGTTTATAAATTATTATTTTGCAAGGTATCCTCAAGCATGAATTTTGCTATACCTAATCACTACACTTACGCTTGGCAGGTTTGTGAGAGGATGATTCATTCTCTCGTTTAGTTGTAATGTATTTATGTCATTTGGAGTTCAAATATATATATACTTTACCAAATTATTAAATAATACAGAAAAATATTTTAATGCACAAAATAAGCAATAAAATTTATAATGCAACATGCGAACACAGTTTTCCACAAAAAGCGTTCCCACAAATCTGTCTTCAGGGCGCTGCGTTATTGCCTGCCGTAGCCATCTTTTTTTGACAATCGAACAAGCGATAAAGTGTAGAAATCGAGCGCTTAACACGTTTGTATGTCCACGGGCTACTTGCTTTGAGTTATTGGCGCCACGATAGCATTGAAAAAAGAATATTGCGGATTAACATTAAAATATAAATACAGTTCGTCACCCGTGTTATTTTTCACACAAGGATTTTAATTGCATATTTCTTTATATATAAGTTCAGTGTTCGAAAATTAAATACATTTATTTATACACACATTACATTTCATCACCAGCCTTTTAAAGTGCACATACATATGTCTAGCAGTGCAAAAAGTCTAGCCGTGAACTTTTTACATAAGTTTTTACAAATAAGCATCCCTTGAAAGAGGTTTTAGACTCACAATGTTGTACCGGTAGATTGGTGATAGCTGATATTCTCACACTGGTAGTGCTATCACCAGTCTGCAAAATTTAGGTTCAAAGTTTTGAATGCATATGACATCATTCGATCGTCTCGTGCGTTAACCAGCAGGGTGTAACGCGTGCTGGTTAGATTGTTATTAAGGGAAAAATCTCATAAATTCCCGTTTACATTTATTTTATTTATTGTTTTTTTTTATAGTAGTAAAGGTGAAAAACGATCACACAGTCTACTAAGTGCGAATGCCTAGTTACCAGTAAAAAGTTTCTTGTTATTTAAACTTAATTTCTATTTCCGAAAAAAATCTTATCTTTACTCTATATTGTTACATTTAACGCTGCCTTTAACGAAGACATCTGCTTGTTACCTAATATATACGTCGGCAGTAAATTTAAATAATGTAACTTTACTTTTAATTATTTTTTTCTTTGAAGTTGAACTATAGAGCGCATTTGCATTTAGAAAGTCTGCAGCGTGCTCGGAGCTTTTCTAAAAGCAACTTCTCCCAAAAGGCCAGCGCGTTAACAAAGTGCCTTAAATTTTTTAATTGCAACTCGCCTTATGATTATTATGCGCCTTTGTGCATTCAGAGGGCAACATGATGTGTGGAGGCTTTACGAAGTAATGTGCGAACAGTGTTGCGGCTTGGCCCGAGTATTAAACTTAAAGGGATTATGGCAAACAACAATGGGTTTGCGCAAAAACTTACATTAAACATTCTTTCAAAATTAATTTAAGATCGAGCAAAAACTAACAAATTATAAACATGAAGAAAAATATAAAAATTAATTATCTTTTATTGTATCAACTTTTCCTATCCAAATATAATATTCATTAGTGTCTTTAAGAGAAGAGTCAATAATTTTTTACTAAGCTAATGGCTTTTTCTCTCCAAGATTTCATTAAAAGTTACCCGAGTTATCATAACATAAGGTTGTAGTCAACAACCAATTTTTTTTTTCCTTGATATGAAATAAGCAAAGAGTATAATAAGTATATACAGGAAAAGAGAGCCCTCTGACGATATTTTATTGCAGACAAAATTGAACTACTAGCGTCTCCTACAAATTGAATCCGAACTAATTCGCTATATATAGCTATATTATGTACATCATATTAATGTAACTATTATGTTCTTTAATTCGCATACTTACTGAAACAATTTTTACTTTTTTTTGTAAAATAATTTATACTTTTAATATTAAAAGTAGGTAAATAGTTTCAATAAGTACACTTGTATTTGTGAGATAATAATATATAAAAAGGGTATTTGCGATGTTACAGGAATGACAATTTATTATGACAATTATTTCATTTTTTATTTTTATTTTTAATTATAAAATGCTGGTTGCCAGTATCATAATTGTCATATTTATCGATTGATTCGATAATTATTACGTGTTTTTATGTTAAAATTATAATTTTTTATCAATAAAATCACCAATAATTTTTTGGTGCACTTATTTTTATTTTGTAAGTAAATTTCATTTTATTTTTCCAAAGTAGCGACATCTGTGAAGCCATAAGACCAACTATAAACAAATTATTTTTGGAAACAAGTAATGGATGGCGCCACCATCCATTAAATTTTTGTGGTTCAAGGCAACTGTCCTACGCCTGGAAATAAGTTACTGCATATTAAGTTGTAATACATCCACAGACAAAAAACATCTAAATTCAAACTTTTCTGTCAAAACATGTTAATTACCACTCATTTATCTAGATAGTATGTAGGCGTTGATATTTCAATCGAACTTTCCCCTTATTTTCTGAGTTACAGAGATTCTCTGCTAACTCGTGACGAGTTGTTTCCGCCCACCGCTCATCGCACGCACCGTAGCATTAGAATTTAATAGCGTCGCTCCTTAAGCGACACACTGTATGTGGACCTAACAAGACTCTTTTTCAGTCGGCACAATATTATAATATTATGCTCATTAGTGGGCATTTATTTAAGTTTGCTGACACAGACCCTTATTATTAAAAAAAAAAACGTAATTTTTTCACGGGCGCTAGAGGGAAAACTTAACGTGTATGTGCTGTAATGAAATGAAATGAATATTATAAATGCTAAACATAAATAACATATCTAAATATACATTATCTATCCATCAACTATAGCCTATAAAATCCACTGCTGAAAATAGGCCTCCCTCATGGACTGCCTTCATGTTTCATGATTTTGTCGATTTTTCTTGGCAAGCGGGTTGGCAACCTCTGTTTTTATTATTTTAATTTGATATTAAAAAAGATGCTGCTGCCCATCTCCTGGTATATTTCCTCTGTCGCCTCTTACGAAGATCTCCTCTCGAGACCTCTCGAGACGATATGGGGTAGTGGATATTCTTACACTGCCACTACACGGTTATTTTAAACATTATCTTTAATAGAGTTTTTTGTTTTGGCAGCGTATATAAGTTTTAGAGATAACAAAAACGTGCAATTTGTAAAAAGCCCTTCTCTTTCTAATTTTTCTAGACAACCCACATTTCAAATCAAAAGTAAATCAGAAGACACGAGACAAATATATTACTACACAGTTAAAAGTTCAAAGCTTATTAATTTCTAAATGATATTATAACATTATAATAATAATGTCCTCCAGACCGGATTTCCGTCACGGCGGCCAGCCTCAACGGAGACTAGCCATCGGCGCAGGACAGGATTACAGTGCCCAAATGTATGCGCAAGGACAGGTGCACTCTCTATTCCCTCACTCTCATAGTCCGATAGGACTATGAGAGTGAGGCGAGAGAGAGATCAGGCGCAGGAACAACGGCTTTACGTGCTCTCCGAGGCACGGGGGGTGAGACACCGCCAACTTCCTGACTCCGGGCAGCTACTGAGAATTTCTTGATGGAAAAACTAAGTAACTGATTATTTTTTGGCCCGACTCGGGATTCGAACCCGGGACCTCATGATCAGCAGTCGCACTACTACAACCACTAGACCAATGAGGCAGTCAAAAACTATAATAAAATTATAACATTAGCGATTAGGTTAATGATATAATATATATAAAAATAAGTTATGATTTATTATGTAAGTTAACTAATTACTTAGAAGTAGGTACTTGTATATTTTATATTAAATTAATGATAAATATCGTTTTAACATTAACAAACATTAAACATATTTGTTATTTTCAAAATAATTAACTTAGTATCTCTTCTATCAATCATGTAATTACTTTAAAGTAAAGTAACAGCCTATGTACGTCCCACTGCTGGACACAGGCGTCCCCTCTTTCTGAGAGGGTTTCAGCGTAAGGAAAAGTCCGCCGCGGTGCCCCAATGCGCGTTGGCGAACTATTTATTTACGAAAT